TTCATTTTGATTTAGAATTGGATCTAAATAAAAAATTTTAAAATATTATTTACAGTAGGTAGATTACCCACCTAGTTTGAAAAAAATGGCGATTTAAATATTTGATAGTGCCTAGTTAATCGACTGATAAGTCTTTCGCATAAATTTATTACAATGCTGGTAAATATAAAAATTATAAAAAAAGCTATTGTCGTTTAACTATACATAATACTATAGTTGATGTAATGATGTAATATTAAGTAATAAAAATAATAAGATATATGGCTATTCAGCTATTTGCCACCTATTTTGAAAATTGAAATATTGCCATAATTTTATGGTCAATACTCTGCAATAGTCAATAGGTAGCTACTAGTTATAGTAGCTTCATAGTATGATGATTTATGACTATTATTATTATTATTATTATTATTATTATTACCTATTATTACTTTACATTGTTATTAAATACATGTTCAATAATAGTATAAGTAAATAAATTATCAATTTTAATGATAAATAATACAAAAGATTAAGTTATTTGGGGAGCTTGAACAGTTAGTACACTAATATAAGCCCCCCTGCTTGTTTCCAAAACTAGCAAAACAAATTTAAATTTCCCAGTTACTTGAAAATTCTATATAATATAAGAAGTACTTATATAGTATAGTATACCTATATTATATTATATATCGTATTATATTGTGATATATGTATGCCAAAATGGTAAACTACTTGCCTACTTATAAGTTATAACAGTTTAACTAATAATTATAATAGATTTCACGACTTCACCCATGGGCGTCCCTAACAGGAGGCAAGACAGAGCACTTGCCCCCCCCCCCCTAGAATTTTAAATTTGTTTTTCTAATCGTAATAATTTAATGTTATACTACCAAAACATAATAATGTTCTATAAATAAAATATATAATAATAATATCTAATTGTAATAATGACAAAACATGTAATGTACTATAAATAAAATTAATAAAACAAATCTTTATTTATTTTTTAAATTAATTTTGCCCCCCTTGAAAAATGTCTGGGGACGCCCATGACTTCATCTACTTACACCAAAACACCCAGAAACCTCTTCTAAAGTCCAACATCTTACAAAGTGGATCTAGGACATTTTGATGTGAAACAGTTTATTCCAAATAACTTTTTAATAGGATTTAACTAAAAAAAATTCCAATTATATTATACTCTCAGTTTCATTTTGGCAAAGCCAAAAACCGCATTTTCCGTCACTACTTAATGCATCAAATAAATACATATAATTATTATTCAATATAGCTTTTCTATTTTATGTAATAGATTCAATTCATTTTGATATAATAATTAAATTTAAAACTCACTATTTATATAAAAGATATAGATAATTAATATTTACCTAACGTTGATATTCAAAGATAATAAAGGATACATTTATCGAATGATAGAAAAGAAACGACAAATGTTGCTAAACATATCGCCGAAAACGTAAATAACCAATCTTACACAACGATAGGCTTTATATTGAATATTTGATTATTTTATTTTATGTATTTATTTTTAAGAGTACGCTGTACTCGCATGCGGCGTCTTAGCCTTTTAAGTTACAAGCGCATAGCATAGCAAATTGTTCGATTTGAATAATCTATTTAACTCTATCATATTTAATATTACAGTTAATTGACCTATTATCAAATTAAAAGTAAGAATATTAATGGATTATTCAAATTGAACAGTTAGCATTGTTATGCGTTTGTAAGACACTGTATACGGGTACAGGCGTACAGCGTCCTCTTAATGTAATCTGAAACATTTACGCCAAAATGTCCTATTATGTTATAAAGTTGTTTCTAATTTGAATTTCACTTTATACCTAAATTAATTTTTAATAATAATAATAGTAATAATGTGTATTAATATTTCCAATAAAATTGATATACATAATAAACATCATGTATAGTGTTAAAACTAGAAGTTACAGGTTAAAATTTTAGGAATATGTATACATTTACCCACAAAATGGTAATTATACGATTATGTTGTACAAATAAATTTTTTTTTTTTTTTAATTTTTGGGATTTTTTAATTAGATAAGATTATAGTTAACATTTTTTTAGAAAATTAAATTTGTATATAATGCATGATATACAAGGCGATTTTTTTATTAGCAAACACTGATTATCTCAACAATAAAAAATTACAGTTTTGGAATTTTTTTTTTCTTTAAAATAGTCATTGCAAAATAGCATTTTAAAAAAACGAATAATTTTTATTATTTTTTAAGTTCTTACGTTTTGAATGACAGTATACATTTATATTTCATCGAAACAAAAAAAAAAAGTTTTATTTTTGTTTTTAAAAATTTTGTTTTGTAATGATTTAAAATAAAAATAGATGTTCACCTTTAAAATAATCACCCTGTGTTAAAATTGTTTATATCTTTAATGTATATTATTTAACAAGAAATTACGAAATCGATTACATCACCATTTGAAGGAACTTTTCCTAGACCTCTACATGTAGGGCATTCAACGTCGTTGTTATGTTTAGAATCCTAGAATATTATAAAATTACAAAACAATTTTAAAAAAAGAACATATTTTTTTCATACCATCATAATTTTTTTATAATAGTGGAATAGGCACCATATAAAAAATAAATGTAATAAGTTTTTGTGAAATATTAATTATGTCCAATTTTATGGATTACCTGTTATTTGTAAACAAAAATAAAAAAAAATAAAACTTGGTAACCAAAATGTATATGTTCTTACTATATAATTAAACTATGATAATTATTGATTATTTCAAAATAAATAGTAAATATAAAGTTGACTTGGTTACGCGTATTTACTGTATTATAACATACATTGAAATTTTAAAGTTATTCGTATGACAGAATTTGGCACAATGGCTTACTATTTAAACTTCGAAAATGTCTTCTTCAACTCTTTTTTTCTCAATCAAATCTTACTTAACCGACCGCCATTTCCAAATTTGTGTTGGCTCAGAATTTTCAGATATTTCTTTGATCAATGCAGGAGTACTCCAAGATGGTATACTCTCTCTTCAATTCTATTCAATATATTCGCTTGCCCATTCTCGATAATAATATAGTACCTAGCGGATTATGCAGATGACAAAACCATAATATTGATACAAAATAACCTAGTCACATTTCTACCAATCTCCAACGACATTTAAACTTTATGAATGACTGGTTTAAAAAATAGAAAATTAAAATAAATAACACTAAATCAATTCATTCAACCTTCACCTTAGTCCTTAGACTTGAACACTACTTAAATGTATTTATAATTAATATTTTAATCCCTACTTTCGACACAGTTAAATATCTAGGACTCCATCTTGATAAAAAAAACTCACCTGGAACAAATATTTAAAAACTAAAAGACCAAATCTTAACGTCTTTGGGTTCCTAGTCATACAGGCATATATGGTAATGAAGTTGCTGACCACCTGGCTAAATCTTCATCCAATCTCATCTTTCCTTCTATGTATCAACTCCCCCATTCTGACTTCACACCTCTTATAAAACTATACTCTACTAATATTTGGTTCTCTCTCTGGAATAATCTACCTGCTGATTTCGCCTCAAGATACAGAAATATTACACCAAATATCCTCAAAAAAACCTGGTTCAATAACCTACACTTACATAGACCATATATAGTACAATTTAATAGGCTACGCATAGGGCATCACCTTCTACCCAGCCACTCCTTTAAACTTGGCCTTAATGATTCTCCATTCTGTACTCTTCACCTGAATGAATGCATTTGTGACTTATCCCATATTCTACTTGACTGCCCTGCCCTACAACTCAAACGCATTATTTTAGTTAATGAACTTAAGACTCTTGATATCCCCTTAAATATCCACTCCATACTTAATACAAAATCTACTACCGCCATTAAATTAATAATTACCTTTATATTGGATGCTGGCTTTATTATTTAATATGTATTATAATGTTTAATGTATAATGTTAATTTATGTATTATCTCTGTAATAGTCGAGCTGTCATAGTTGTAAACTAATAGCTAATAAAAAAATAAAAATAATAATAAATCTTAACGAACGCTACCGTGTGCTAATCATTTTAATCTTAAGGTCAAGTTCACCAATTTGAAAACAAAAATTAAAATTTACATATCACTTCTAAACCCTATCTAGACTTACAGATTCCAACTGTGGATTCGATCAAAAAATCTAATTCAAATAAAATACTAACAATTAATATCATAATATAATAACCAATATTAAATTATTTTCAAGGAGACGAGACCAATGTTTGCTAACATGTTTAATAATCAATATTAAGGACATTTAAATCTATTTCTGTGTGATAGAACTACTAAAACCTAATGAATAATAGAAAATTATTTCATAGTTGTACCTATCCATATCAATAAGCTGTAGATATAGGTCGTAGGTACTAACATAACATATTAGGGATATGTTATTTTATTGTGCTTCTGTAATCATACAAGTTTGCTATGGATACAACTTTGATCGATTTATTCATTTTTGTATACGAGAAATAAACACTAAGCAATTTTGTTTATTTTGTGTATTAAATGTTATAATAGTCACATATTAATATATTAATTATTATTAATTGTATTACAATTTACCTGCCCAGTGCCCAATTACCTCAGCTGGGTTAGTCTGGGTTCAGATAGTTTAGTTCTACAGTAGTCTTGTTGTACAGTTTTTTTTTTTTATGGATTTTAGGGGTCAATAGCAACGGTTATTACTTATTAGCCAGCACAGAAATTCTACAATAGAAGACTTACAGAATACACTTAATTGTCTTAATTGAAGGACAAATACCTAACAATTATTATAGCTGATCTTGAGTGTTGATTTGTGATTATGTTGGGTAAATTCCAAAGATAATGTTCATAATTATCTGTTATCTGACAGCTGTTTGTTGAACATTGATAAGCGAGGGGCTGAGTATTAAATAATATAACAATATTTGATTACTTTATGCCTTTGTACCTATTGGTTATTATTACGATTTAATATTTACTATTTACTATATTCTTAAACTATTCGTTACTTTTATAACTTGGTTTTAATTATAAAGTTTGGGCTTTATATTATATTCTATAAAAAATATTTACAGAGTAAAAGCTCAATAAAAATCAATAAAAAATGATGACCCTAATAAATCGGATACTTGATTGGATTAAGAGTAAATTTTGGACAGAAGAAATGGAACTTACCCTCGTTGGATTACAGTGTTCTGGCAAAACTACATTTGTTCATGTAATTGCAGTAAGTAACTTTGATTTTCTTCTAATTTAACCTTTTTTCCATAACATTTTTATTACTTACTCCTCTGTATATGGATAATATTAAGTTGTATTTACAGCTGTTTGAAATGTTTGAATACATTTTAATCTGAAAATATTAATTATTTGATCTTTTAATGATTTATAATTAATGACATGAAAAATTTCATGTATTGTATTTTCTTTTATATTTACCATATAATTACATATTAAATGTTTCATTCATAATATTAAGGGAGGGGTCTATTAATATTGTTCAGTGTTTTTGTTTTATTATATATATCTGTTAAGTTTATTGAGTAATCTAATTTTGTCTACTTGAATAATAATAAATAATATAATAAAAAGTGTAATAAGATCAAGGGTGTTTTTTATAAATGTATTGGATAAAATATTATAACAGGTAAATTTATACTTTTTATTTTATGAAATATGAATAGTTCTATATGTTAAATTAAAAACTTAGTTATTAATCAATATGATAATAGGGACAATAAAAATTCTTATAAATAATGCAAATAACAAAAGGAATATAAATTATCTACCTATTTAGAAACATACTTAATACATATAAACTGTTGTATATTTACAATTTAAATTTGAATAATATATAATTAACCTTTTATTAAATGTTCATATGTTATAGTTAAATATGGTAATTATGTAGGTAATATACAATAATATATAAAATTAACAATTGAAGTTCCAACCCACTTTTATATTATATCATATTTTGTCATTTATTATATTTTATTTGGTAATAAATAAATAAAATTACATTTTTAGTCTGGGCAATTTAATCAAGACATGATACCAACAGTTGGTTTCAATATGCGAAAAGTGACAAAAAATAATGTCACTATTAAAATATGGGATATTGGTGGTCAGCCACGTTTCAGATCAATGTGGGAGAGGTATTGCCGAGGAGTAAATGCTATTGTGTATGTATTCATAAAATTAAAATTCATAATTATATATTTGATTCTTAATTTGTAAATACTTACAGTTATATGGTAGATGCTGCAGACACCGATAAATTAGAAGCTTCAAGAAACGAGCTTCATAATTTAATAGATAAACCACAATTAGCTGGTATACCTGTCTTAGTTTTGGGTAACAAGAGAGATTTGCCAAATGCTCTAGATGAAGTTGAACTGATTGACAGGATGTTAGTAAAAATATTAGAAATTTTATTAGTATTGTTAAAAAATGTAAATTATATTTTTTATTCAGGAATTTAAATGCAATTCAAGATCGAGAAATTTGTTGCTATTCAATATCTTGCAAAGAACAAGAAAATATTGATATTACTTTGCAATGGTTGATTAGCCATTCAAAATCTAATCGTCAGTCATCAACGTAAAACTAATATTGGAAAATTTCATATCTAGCACTAAGTTTGTGCTAAAAATATTGAATCATTTCTAGATTTAATTTTTTGTTTAAGGCTGATCCACCTTCAATTTTCTTTTATCCAATAAAGATAAATTAATGCCATTTTTATCAATGCACTCCTGGTTATAAATTTATAATACAGCAACTAAGTATAGAAGTTCTAAATTTTAACATTTATATAGAAAATCATATTTTTGGATCAACCCTCAGTATATGTATTATACTATTTGCATTAATTTATATGGGTTTTATTACTTTTTTTTCTGTATTTATAACATATTGTATGGTTTTGTTGTAAGACGACTAATTTAAACATTTTTATGTAAGTTATAATTTAATCATTCAAAATTTATACATTTATATTATTATTTTATTATTATTTAAATTATATTTATATATATATGTATTATTCTATTAATCAGAAGTATATTGCTTCTAAGAATATTAATAATTTATCCAACTATTTTATACCTGAAAGCTGACCATTGTTACTTGGGTTTATTTTTTTTTGTAAATATTTAGTTGTTTAGGCATTAAGTCTATTATTGTAATACAGTATTAAAATAATTTCTGTCATGCCTAACTTAAATATCTTATTCTCATATTTTCTTCCCAATCTTAAATATTTAATAATTATATCGAACTTTAGTTATTATATTGTGTCTATAATATTATTTTATTTTACCTTTAATTTATAATCTATGAATAGTGTGTAGTTGTAATTGTATGTTACTTATGTAATTAGTTAGTTATTTTTATTTTTTGTTTTATTTATAAATAATCTTTAAACAATAGTTATTAAAAAACAAAGAACTGATTTCTAACAAGTAATGAATATTAAATATGGTAATGTGGCGTTTTATTAACTTATTTGAATAAGTTAACTTAATTAATAATTTTTTTAATTCGCTGAATTTTATTTTCAATGGCATAATTGTTGTTATGGTGATTTTATCTAATTATTTTTACAAGAACGTAGTAGGTAGTAATTAATTTGTGACCATAATTTCTTTATTCAAGAGCATAATAAACCCATTTGTTATCCATTATAAAATTAATATGTTATAAAACTAATTGTATTATTATCAAATATGAAAACTATCTTAGTGTGATTTTGTTTGATGCATTACTTATTCAAAAATTATTTTAATATTCGTTTGGGTATATTTGCATAACTTTAAGCTTATATATGGTTAAAGTGTATAACATGAAATACGAACTAGTAATTTAAATCTTTTGGCAATTATTGATTGGATTTGGGATCCGTTGTTGTTATAGAAAGGATTGGTCCATGGGGTTCAAAGCTCAATGTAGTCGATCGTTCAACTGTGATATATTATTTGAGTATATTTGATTTTTTTTTCCAAGTTTTCTTGCCACATGGTCAATCATGGCTTATCATTTCATGTCTAGTCACCTATCATCTTATCTAAAATAACACCATACCAACTCTTGAATGTGTACACGAGTCACGAACACGAAATTAAGAAATTTAGTATTAAAATTAATTATAATGCAAATTATCATAAAAAATTATAAAATTTATTCTAAATTTAATTTTTAATATAGTTGAAAAAATAATGAATCTGTTTATTTCTAGTTCAAAAACAAATAGTTTATGTTTTTTTTAATAATTTATATGAAAAAGACTAAGTTTATAGTTTCAAGCAGTTGAAAATATGAATTTTATGAAATATATTTAATTTTAAAGAATTTAGTAATTATGGTCTTAGCATCTAAGGAAGTCGTTACCGTGGCTTTGTTGTGCTGTGTATGGTATGTAGTAAGTTCCAGTAGCAATGTAGTTGGAAAGACACTTTTAAACCAATTCCCATATCCAATGACTGTGACCATGGTACAGCTCCTATCCATAGCTGTTTATTCTGGTCCGTTTTTCAACTTGTGGGGTGTGAGACGGTTTGTAGACATAAGTTGGCCCTATTATTTTAAGTTAATAGTGCCACTTGCTCTCGGAAAGTTTGTAGGATCAGTTTTTACGCATGTCAGTCTATGGAAAGTACCAGTTTCCTACACACACACAGGTAATATAATACATGAAATTTATGATTTCAGTTTTTAATAATGTTTATTTTGTTATTTCAGTAAAAGCTACTATGCCACTATTTAGTGTTGTTTTATCAAGAATAATACTAGGAGAAAAACAATGTTTAAAAGTGAGTAATTGAAAATAATATATGATATTTTTAATCTAGTATTTATAACTTTTGTTATAGGTCTATTTATCATTAGTACCCATAATTGCTGGAGTTGCTATTGCATCTTTTACAGAAATATCTTTTGACATAATAGGGTTGATGAGTGCTTTGGCAGCTACATTACAACACACATTACAAAATATATTTTCTAAAAAAGTACTTCATGATACTGGTATTCACCATTTACGGCTATTACATATACTTGGTCGTTTAGCATTGATTATGTTCTTACCAGTGTGGCTTTATTTTGATTTTTGGCACCTAGTGACAGTTTCAAATTTTAATGTAATTTAATATAATAAATTATTAATAAATAGTTAATTAATTTTACATTTAATAAAAAAAATTTTAGATGAATAATGAATCGTACAAAGTAATAGGTTTGCTTTTTACTGATGGCATACTTAGTTGGTTGCAAAATATATTAGCATTTAGTGTTATGTCAATGGTTACATCTTTAACTTATGCTGTAGCCAGTTCATCAAAAAGAATATTTGTTGTGGCTGCATCTTTATTTGTAATTGGAAATCCAGTTACTATTAATAATGTCTGTGGTATGGCATTGGCTCTTTTTGGTGTTATTGCATACAATAAGGTATGTATTCTAAGATAACTATTTGTAAAAAAAATATATATTTTAATTAACTATTTTAGGCAAAATATGATGCCAGACGAACAGATCAGAAACGTGTAATATTGCCAATGACATACCAACATACAAACAATTCTACATTTTGGCATAATGGTAATGTAAGTTCTGGTTATATTAATGGCAATAAATCATTATTTGTATAATTTTAAACGTGACAACTTCAATACAATTATAAAATTTTTTTTAAATTTAACAATGAAGTTGTTCATATATATGTTTTAATTTTGTTAATATTTTTATCTATATACTTATTGTATTATTTTATTTTTGATTGTATTACTTGTTGAGTTTTTATTTTTTTTTTAATAATGTTAAAAAATGGTTCTTTAAAAGTGTTATGTATATAATTATTATTTTATGTTATAAAAAGTGATTTTAAATTCTACTTTATTATTTTTGTATAAAATTTGTCATAATCAATTTTTTTTTTTACTATTTACAGTCAATACAAACTAAATACATTCATGTAAAAATCAATTCCATTGTTTATTATGATCTTTTAAAAGTATTGCATTTAGACCTTATTTATATTTTGTAAAGACTGTTTATTTTGTTTATGTTGCAAAATATCATAATATTAATTATTCTTTTAATTTCTCATTATAGTTTATACTAATTATTAAAATATTTTTGTAATCAATGCCAATTAAATTAAACTGTTACTTTTATATATTAACAAGTTTAATTTTTAATCTTTATTGAATAATTTTTTTCTATGAAAAATGTAACTAATGATTGTAAGCTTACTGACAGGGGATTATATAATAATTTATATGTTGTTATCTCTAATTGAGATTATGTTATATTTTATTTAAACATTAGTATGTTAAGTATTTTTTTTAAAATAAAATAGTTATTTTTGTAAACATAAATTGTACTTAATTGTTTAATTGTAATTTGTCCAATAATAGCTTAAAATGTAAGTACTTTTATTTTTTATGAATGTAAAAGTATTATAATTTGATTAAATTATATTTAATACATTTTCATTCATTTTTAGTATGAATGTAATACCTTAAATATTGGTCATATTATTGTCATTTTAGTTTATAAAATAAATTGATAATTAAAGCATAAGAATATATTTACAGGAGTTCTCATAAAACCGCATATTATGAAAGTTTCTTCTGTATTAATATTGAATGATGAGTATATATGCTATAGTACATCTAGAAACTGTTAATGTTATATTACGTATTAATTATTATAATTAATAGAAAATACGAATACAATAAGAGGATTAATATAAATGTATTCACCAATTGGTAAGTGGGCACACAAATACACAATTAAGACATCAATTGTCAATACTTAGTAGTGACATATGTAGTATGCATTTGTAATATTCTTCACTTAATTGTGCCAGATTAAAAATTATAAAAATAGTCTAGACACACAAAACAAGTATGTAAAAAAATATAAATATCACACGTTACAATGTATAAGCGATAATTAATTATTGAAATATAGATTGAAAGTATTAACTGTAATCAGCTAAATTATCTAAAAATTATAAGACTTAATAGTCACTGAATATTCTATATCTCTTATATTATATAATAAATATATGTTCTCACATTATGTAACAGCGTCAACGTAACTCAGAAATTGGCAATTATGATTTGTAATTGAACTCAGAAAGTTAGAACTATACATTATATAGTTATCTAGACCACATACTTAATAAATGTAAATATTATTATCTTTATAATGTCTATGGTCTAGTCGAAGGTCGAACAACGGTTTATATTGTCTACAATAGTACGAACAGTATGAATGTATGATGATTGATGAACATTGAACAACATCTCGGTTGCACTATGACCATTGATAAAAACGTAATCGACAATTGTGAACTATGATAAAAAAAACTCATCAAAATTAATTGTTATTGATAAATCTAATTTTTTTTTTTATGGTTTAGACCATTGAACTCTATATGATAACTGGAATGCTCACCAGTCATAAGACCAATGTAAACATAACCGAGATAGCGTGTTAGAAAAAGACAGCAGATAAGAATGGTGTTGCTATCTTTTTTTATCACACATAGTTATATGAATTGATTACCAATACATTTTAAATTCGTTGTTCGTTTAACGTTTTGACTTTTGTTCTGCCTTCTGCGTTCTCAAAGTTTTAAAAATAATTAAAATAGTGTGTACCTACTGTGCAGTTAAGACTTAAAATGGTGAATTTTTGTAGTGCCTTTAATTGTGCTAGCTCTAGTGATGTTAGAAAAGACTTGTCATTTCACAAGTTAGTATTAAGTTATTATATGGTGTTATTGATTTTACTCATTGATATTTTTAAACAGATTTACATCTATTATTTTAATATATTCTGCAAATATAAAAAATAATAACTTTAAAAAAGATATTATATTAAAAGTGCAAAGACAATTTTTGGATCAAGTAAAAAATGTAAATCCTATACATCCAATTATTGATACGTGCACTTTAGAATTACACGAAATGAAAATAGTAAAATTTATATCTTCATATTATTGTACTTTAAGAGTCCATACTGAGTATAAAAAATTGACACAACAAAATCAAGGTTTAAAATCATCCCTTAGACACAAATTAAACAAACTTATTTTATTTAATCATGTTTAGCCTGAGTTTTATAATATTGATTACATGTGTTTATAAATTTATTTTGTGTGTTATAATATATAACCACTTTATGTTTAATTATACTTTTATATCCAACTTCAGCACTCTTGTCATTGAAAATTGTGCATGTTAAATACTTTTATATAAGCTTGATTTATTTTATAATTAATATATATTTTCATTGTATGCTTTTATTTCAACACTACTGCTCATTTATGCACTTATTTATCATAATATAACATTGTTAACTTGTAGTGTATGATTTTATTTTAATATGCTTTATGCTTAATGCTTTAAAATTTAATAAATCTATTTATTTTAAACTATTATATTTTACAATGGTTTCTTATTTAAATGAATATCTTGATAGTTTATTTTAACTGTAATACCTTTTTTATTAATTTATAGTTTTATTGTCATTACAGGAAAAATATCTAGCTGAAGTCAACTCAACATAAGTTACATTAGTTAACTTAACAGATCATATAACTCCAAGGTTATGAATATAGTTAAAGTATCTACAAAGTATCATAGTATCTTTAAATATTTATTTATTTTAGGAAATTTGGCCATGAAGTATAACAAAATGTATTGCAGATTTTGTTTTTCTGGATATTTCCAGTACTAATATTTCCTAAATTATAAATCTACAATATTAAGCTTAAGTTAGGAAAGTAGTAAGTACAATCTAAAGTAAGTAGTAGATATAGCTCCAGGTAAATAGCGTAAGTACACTTTTATTTCAATTATGATTAATATTATAAATACTATGTTTATATTTTAATAAATATTATTTTACTAAAAATGCAGTTGTTATTTCATATGCTTGAGTTATGAACTAAAACCTTCTAACTTTCAATTTACAACTTAATTTATTCCCAACTTAAAATTTCCTATTACTTCCTTTATATGACAAAAAAATGCAGAAGTCTACAAAAAAACATGTTTCAATACTTGTTATATTATTTTAAATTATAATTATAAACTAATAAACTATTTATTTATCATTTAATTATTTATATTTTATTAAATTAATAAAAAATATTTTGTGGAAGTTAAAAAAAATAATGAGGTGCAACTACATTTTAAGAACCAAACTAAAATAATATCGCGGTAAAATATGAAATTAAGACATTAGCGCCATGTGCAAGACAAAGATAGTAACACCATTAGTATGTGCTATCTCATTCTAACATCCTCTTTCGGGCAACACTGCTTGGTGAGCATTCCAGTTATCATATAGAGTTCAATGGTTTAGACACAGAATATATTTAATAATATTTATTCTGTGATCTATGCACTCCAAAGTCTTTGGTACTTTGGTAGGCTATAAACACTATAAACACTATAAACAGTATAAACATATTAAACATTATGATACACTATGTGTCTACCTGACTGATATGATAACACTGTATTCCATAGAATAAGAGATTTATTCTGTGTTACTATTACGATATATAATAAGTGATAACATGATATTTTTTAAATGTTCGATTCGAATGTCCCAAACACGGACTAACATAGAAAGTATCTGAATTTAGAAATATAGAATACATTATTAAATCTAAATTCAAACCTTTTCAGTCATACGTTTAGTAGTTGTTTGGGTGATTAATGATGAATAAATAAACTAATCTAAAATTTTGTTGAAATGACTTGCTTGTACGGAGACGTACTGAGCTTAAAGCAGCTGTTGAGAGTTGACAATATTGTAAATGCTGTTAGTTTTCAAACGAATAACAGTAATATTTTTGCACTGGTACTAAGGTAAATGTTTCAGTATTTTCAATATATTATAAAATGATTAAAATTTGAATTAATTAGGAAAAACCTTCTATTATATAATTTTGATTTTATGTTTACAGTAGCAATGATCTCATACTTTATTGTGATCATGTCCCTCCATCTCTCAAATGGTTGCCTTGGCCCAAAGATGACAGAAAAAAAATTGTTTCCTTAGCGTTTAAATCTACTAGTGAAAAGCTTCTTGTATGTGGTAAGTTTATAGTATATTCAAGCTGTTCTAGCTATATTTATTTATAAACTAGTTTATATTTTTTTCACATTTACATTTAAACGCTTGATGATAAAATTGTTGATACTGTTGCTGGATAAATTATGAATATATTTAAAATATTTTAGGATTTGATTGCACTTTATATTTGGTGTTTGTTCGTGAAATTTTTGAACCAAGAGATGGTGATCGAAGAAATAAGGTAAAAATTATTAGACCAGCTCCTGGGGAACCTACTAGTTCCTTAAATCCAACTGCAATTACTTGGTGGACTCCTGTAGTTCCTACATATTCAAGGTAAATTCATTTGTATGACGTGTTTTTACTTGTATTTAAATAATATTAGGTATTAATTAATAATTATTGTTTGTATAATTTCAAGTGATATTGGTATTGTTGGAGGAAATATAGGAGAAATTGTTTTTGTTAATCTCCGTACTGGAGCTTGCCTTGGATCCACTTGTGTGAAATGTTCTATAAAAACTCTAGAAATATTAAACGAATCATGTTCTAATACAGTTTGGTTGATTGTAAGTTTAGTATAATAGTTATTACATTTTATTAGTATAACATTTGTTGTTATTGTAATGTTGTTCTTAGATAATCAGTAGTAATGGAGATCGTTGGAAATTATTGCTTGAAAGTTTTGATGTAGGGTACTGTTGGCTGAATCCCAAACCACATAGTGTACATGATAAAACAACTAAGTATGACTTATTAGTTAATTATCATTTGGTTTAATTAATTTATTGTAATACATTCATGAAACAATTAAGGCCAACTAATGCATTGAATATTGATACCATTGTTCCTGTTATATCAAATTTTCCTTCTACACGAGCTAGATTATTGGGATTACGACAACTTTTTATAGAAAAATTATCTGCACCAAAAAAACAAAGATCCGTGATAAATTGTGTTCAAAATGGTATTTATTGTACATTTGTTTTTGGTTAAAATTTTTATTATTAAGTTTAGTTATAATATATTTCGTAATTTTTTAGTGCCAAATGAAAATAAACATCCAAAACGAAGTTTTTCGTCTGATACAATCACTTCTGGGTGTTCTTGTCCTAGTACTGGCCCATCACCTGAACCTATTGCTAGTGTAGTTGACATGAAATCTAATGTACAGAGTCATTGTGGTAAACAAACTATTGTGAGCTTTTGTTCTAATCATATTTTGGTAAGCTAATAAATATCATATAAAAAATAATATAAAAATAATTATAATAATTAATAATTAGGGCTCGGAAGTTGTAGGAATTGCATATTATTCTGTATGCTCTCAATTTATAGCTAACCAAGTTAGAAATTTGATCTGTATAATGGAGAGTTAAAAAATTGAAAATTGAAATGCATATCTTGAATATTTTGTCAACTTTAGTTATAAAAGTGCATATTTCATTGATTTTATACGCATATTATGCACATTTAATATTTCTTTAAATAGGATTCTTTTCTTTCTTAACCTGTATATTTCAATTAATATTGAATATAAAACTCAAAATTTTGAATGAAGGTATTTATTGTAATTAAAAAAATAATGATAAAATATTTTTAGATCAAAAAGATGTCAAAATGCCAACCAGTTATACATTTTTTTCAGTTATAAACAGTTTTTATATATACAGTAGACGCCGCTTATAAGACTCACTTTGGGACCAGTACAAAATGAGTCTTATAACCGAATGAATCTTATAGGCGAAGTGGAAAAAAAAATTAATTACGTATTTATAAATTTTATTTTACTACATATTTTGCTTTGATTTTAATACATTAACACATATTACATACTTTATTATTGAATAAATTTAATAATCCCGATAAAAAAAAACTAAAATTATAATCGATATAATTATCGTTGCGATAAATGTGAACTTTTATCTGCGATAAAAATTATTATACGTTATAAGGTACCAACAGAAACTAAAAATAATCAACACGAATATTATTTCATTTTTCAAAACCAATTTATTTCTAAATTATAACCAAAAAAGTTTATTTTCTACTATTTATTTTACGAAATTTGAGCCTTATAACCGAAGTGTTGAGTCTTAAAACCGATTTTTTTTTAATGTATTTGGATACGTCTGAACCGTTTCAGACTATTTTGAGTCTAATAAGCAACTGAATCTTATATCCGTGAGTCTTATAAGCGGCGTCTACTGTATTATTATTTTATTAATTTATTAATAAAATCTGATGTATTTATTTTTTATTTTATTTTTGAATTCAGAATGATTTTTTTGTATATTTCTCAATTTTTTCGTGCATATTTTATCTTTTTTAGCTCTTACAACTTCCGAGCCTTATTAATAATTAATTGAAATATATTCAATTAAGTTAAATGTATTTTTCTTAAATAATAAACTTATAAATGTTATTTTCTTGTTACTACTACTAATGTTGTATCATAAATTTTCATAATTATAGGTACACGCTTCTGGATTTAACATTAATCAACCATTGGTGTACAAGTTATTTAAAGGAGGAGATGTCGATAAGTTTTTATATACTGATCAGTTTATATTTACCTCTGAAAATGGCGGTACTAAGTTGAGTGTTTTTTCTTCTAATCTTTGCTTACTTAAAAATGATATGGTAATTTGTTTTTAAAAATTTTGCCATAATCGTTTTGTACAAATTGTATCGTTGACATAATTTTACAGGAAGATGACAAAGAAAAAAGTCTTTTAGGTACTTTTAATTTTAACAATGGAGAATTAATTTTGGATATGTTTAGAGTATTGGGAAGAAAAGTAATAATTACTTAAATTATTCTATTGCTATTAGAATTAATGTTTGTATATATTTTTAGATAAAAGAAAATTTAGATGTTTCTCAAAGTATATCTCCTAAAAATAAGAATCGTTCCTCAATTAATAAAAAAAAAAAGTGTGATCGACAACATACTCGAAAAGATAATACTGTATCAGAATTGTGTGCAATTGTTACTAATTGTACATTATATTTTTTGAATTTAAGGTAAAAATGGCAAATTGCCTTTTTATAATTTAATATAATTCTTAATAATTTGTGTATTTATATTGAATTTTGTTATAGTATTAAACCAGAAGAGATAATATTTAAAAATATTATGGCTGGTGCATTAGATCATGCAAATAATTTGTCAGAAGCATTTGATGTTGATATAAGGCCTATATTGGAAAGAGCTGCTGATCAACAGCTTAGTGCTAGAAAATTTGAAGAAGCTACTCTACTTTATCGATTATCTAAGGTAAATAAATTATTAATTTATACTTTATTTAGAATAGCAGTACATTACTTTTGCATACATTAAATGAGGTCCTGAATAATGCTGTTTCTTGTCGTTGGAAAGTTATTCTATAATTGGCTACTCATTGATGGTAGTTTGTAACGGTTGTCAGTGGGATATAGCATATTAGCAGAGTCAAATTTAGGAGAGGACTGAATGAGGTGAAGCCCAGGGGCCCCCACAATTATATGATATTTAAATTAGAATACAGGAAAAATATTTTATTTATATTTACGCACATATAATTAAATAATATTGAACTTAAAAATTTAAAAATTTTAATTGTATTCACATTTATTAACAATGAACGGTGTCTAAAAATCTAGATAAAATTGGTCTTCATGCCGTTTGTGATCGGTATGCACTGTCGATTGTAATAATATTAGTAAATGCATTTCTAAAATATATGCACGCGTGGGTCTGGAATTTTGTCAAAATGTCGTTGTTCTTCGCATTTATCTTGTTTTTATGATTAAAAACAGCAGTAGTGAAAGATTATTCTCTAATT